GGGCAGCGGCGATGAAGCAGGGGGGAGCGGGCCTATTCCCTCCCCATCCTCAACTTCATGAGAACTGGGGGCAGGGCCGGACACGGGGGGGATGCAGAGCTGCCGGACTCTGACAAAAGCCGGCAGGGAGGGGGAGGAAGGAGAGCGGGGTGGTGGGAAGAGGTTCTGGTACTCCACTGCTGCTGCTGTGCCCCAAGTACAGCCCCAAAGTGGGGGAGGGAATGGCCCCAGGCCCGAAGTGGCAGGGGCGAGGGTGGGGGGAGTGGGCCCATTTGCCCTCTCCCCCGACCGGATGAGAAGCAGGGGCAGGGCTGAATGCAGGACTCTGTCTTTGCCTGCCATGATGGCAGGGAGTGTGCCACTGTTGCTGGGCTACGACAAAAGCCGGCAGGGAGGGGGAGGTGGGGGCATGGTGATGGTGTCCCGCTGCTGGTGCCGCCGCTGCTGGGCCTTGCCAACAGCTGGGAGGGAAGGGAGTGGGGAGGGGAGGCAGGGGGATGATGGGGGAATAGGCCTGGACCTGAAGCTTGGTGGTGGGGTGAAAGGGGTCCAGACTTGGGGGGAGCAGGGGAGCACGACGAGACCCGAAGCACAGGTGGGGGGGGGGCAGGGGCCAGATATGGGTTTCTTTCTCTCTCTCTCTCTGCCCCACATCATTCTTGATGGACAATTGGCCAGTTACAATATAAATGTTAGGTGATTGTATCAATTTATTAAAAATAAGGAGAAGAGATGGGATATGTGGTACAGCGGTGTAGTGCACTTACTTTTGTGTTAAGTTTTGCCTTAAAAACCCAACAAATTTGATTTCACTCTACTCCTAATACAGTTTCTGCACATTTCAGACCATCTTATATTTTGGCATGAGCTTCTTTTTTCTGCTCATCGGTGTTGTGCTGGAGTAGCAGAAATTGTGTTGGTTAGAGTTCAACTCCACTAACATAATTTTGTGAGTGGACACTTACAGTTCTGCCCATACCATGCATGGGTTGGTCCGTACTTTGCCAGTTGCTCACTGCTTTACTCAAGGAGTTCATATACTGTAAAAAAAACAAAACCAAGAAATCAAAATAACAAAACAGAAAGGAAGGAAGGGAACAAGTTATATGTAAAATATACTAGAACATTTCCTGCCCCTTTAATGTTCTTGAAAGCTACTTCATGCATCATACCATATTTTTGCAGTGGAAGCTCTGTACACAGACAACTAGCAGGATCTAGTCCTTTGTGCAACAGTATGTATGTAACCTCAAAAAGACTAACAAATGGCAGTATGTTCTTAATTCTGCAGTTAGACTTGACATACAACTGCCTGGTCTGGTCTGTAACACCTACTTCAAAGGTTTTTCTATAAATTATATTTACTAGTACCAGTGAATAGAAATAATGTCTTTATTTTTATGTGAATACTTAATGGATACTCTTTAATCCAGTCCTGCAGAGGTATCGCAAGCTCTTTCAGCACTTGGGTCCCCACCCAAGTGGCGATTATGCTGACTACAGGAGAGTGGGGTGGGGCAGGGGGGAAAGAGGAGTCTTACCTGCCTAGGCTCACCTCATGTGAGTGACAGTTGCTACTGCTGCTGTCATAGCACCAGGCTCAGGCTGCTACCAATGAGGGACAGGCAGTGGGGTGGGCTCCCTGGGGGCTGCTCTTGGTGCCCTGTTTGTCCCAACCCCTGGGGGCAAGGAGGTGCCTCCCATAGCAAAGCTTCTCAAAGGTGGAGGAGTGATCTACACCAGTCCAAATACCCTGCTGGGCATGGAGCTGTACCTGCCCATCTCTTGTGGCCGGGCTGCATCTGCCTTGGTAGAGACTCTGAGGGCAGGGAGTCATACGGGTACCGCCTTTCAGTTGGCACCTGGGACTGGTATGCTGCTTGCCCTGCCCTAGTTACATTGCTGTAGTCCTGAATCCACTTTGACTAGCCCAGTAATTGTGCTTTTTCTTCTAGGTTCTATTTCTGCTCTTGCTTAGCCTTCCAAAAGCACTGAGCAGTAAGGCTGAATTTGAAGTGCCACTTTCGTCTGCCCTGTTCTCTCTGCTGTTTTACCTGATATGTCTGATGCTCTGCGCAGTTCATGTAATTGTATGCACATCAGCAGAAAGTTTGTGCTATTTCTGCAGTATTTCATGGTTAATGGCAGTTGGAGTGATGATGCTGATTTCTGCACTGATGTGCATAATTTTATCTGCCCTTGGAAAGATATTTATGAATAATAAACTTCCAGCAAAGGTGAGGCCACTTAAAAAGAAGTATAATTTTATCTTTTGCTTTTCTGATGCATTAACCAGCAGAGTTTGTATCTGTAGTTCCTGGTATATAGGAGTTAAAGGTATAGTATAACTTTAATTTGCTTAATGAATGGAATTGAAGTGTGATATATTCTGATACATTCACTCTGCTATCATACTGATTGCTGCAATGAAGATCATAAAAAGTGTTCATTTTCATATTACTTTAAGCTAGGTTCTAATTAGTGTAATTTATTTTGCATTTGATTAGCTATATCAGAAACAATTATACAACACAATTTTTTATGCTGTTACACTATGACATGGTTGCAACTGAAGCAATGTGGATGACACCAAAACACTGTGCATTGAACATAAACACCTATTTTCCCCAAGTTCTTAAAACATTTTCCCAAAGTACCTTTCATAAGAGCTGTACTGTTTCATATAGACAGCTCTTTAAAATTTTTCAGATTTTAAAACTGGATATGAAATGTGTAAATATGATTGCTCTCCTTTATCTGATAGTAACTATCATATTAACAAACAGTTAAAATGGAAGCTATATAATTTCCATATTGTCTTGATTGTGATCCTTAGAATGTTAAGAAATTTTGCAATGGGATGACTGGTTAGTCTTAAGTTACGGGCTAAATTAAAAAAAAAAAAAAGAAGAAGAAAGTCAGAAAAACCTAAGAAAATCAGATTTTTAATATCTTCTTCTTTCCCACTGTGAAATAGCAGTGAATATTTCTAAGAGACTCATGCATATAACCAGCCTGCAACTATCCCCCCTAGCCCAGCACTAAACTTTTTTCCGAAACATTTGCCCATGTTAAAATTAGCTTAACTTATTGGTGCCAACCAGAACTCTGTTTTGTTAGAAATAGTAAAAAAGGAATCAATTAAGAAACATCAGTTGATAGATGTGCTGAATAATAGGGGTGTACCGATAAAGATTTTTTTGACTGATACCGATGCCTGGTTATTAATGAGCCATATCGACTGATACCGATCACCG